CAAATCAATAATTCTTGCCATCTTCGATTCTTCATCTGTATTCATTAACCGACAGTAATGGAGAATTCTGGTCAGTGTTACCGATTTTTGGTTTGGGTTGTAATTTTCTTTCCTGCCTTTTCGATTTTATTCGCACTGTAGCTTTTGTGTTAAAAAACTTCATTTGCGTAACCTTCAAGGTTAACTAGTTATATTTTTTGAAGTACTTTTTATTTAGGGTTTATTGCTATTGCCGAGTGATTGTGTGTTTTCTGGGGAGCTTTTAGTTTTTGGGAGTTTTATTTATCAATGTGAGAGATTTGGCTGAGTATTATGAGTATTGATCAATTAAGGTAAAAGGAAAATTGTTTCTTAACGTTGTTCATGTGATTGGCTAAAGGCTCAGCTTTTGTAACTTCTGTTTGGAAAAGATTAATGTTGGTTTGAATGTTTTCCAGCATTTATACACGTACATTATGTTATTTTTGGTTTAATAGTAAAGCACATATTATGTTGTCAGTTTATTTTCATAATTTGTGTGCTTAGATAACTTATGTTTTGAGATGGTCTAGTGAGAGGTTAGTGGATGTAATTTTCTTGCATATATGCACATACATTATACATCTAGTACACGTGTATTTGGAATTCTCTGTTTAATACTAAAGCACATGTTAATTTAAAAAGCTTGTTATGTCATTTGTTTATTTTTCTGGAAGTGTGAGCTAAATGTGTAAACTGGATTTTTTCCTTGGGAGGCCATTTCTTGTGCTAATATCTAACTTGTGCTTATGATGTTGTGCAGGAAATCACCAGGATGTGATAGTTCCTCCAGTAGAAGGTGTTGCCAGAGGTGGGACAGCATATGGATGGAGTGAAAGTGTGGCTGGAGGTACTAATTGTTTATGTGTGAGTGTTAATGGCTTATCTGTTGCTTTCGAACTTTATTGTTTTGATAATTTTCATTTTTCTTTTTGGATTTAGTACCTGAAACCCAGATTACAGCTATACACTTTCAGATTACAAAATAATTTGAGAAGCTTGTTCTTAGAATGAACCCACCAAGGTAATTTTCAGATTACAGCTACACCAAGATAATTTTCATTTTTCTTTTTGGGTTTAGTACCTGAAATCCAGATTATTGGTCATCGTCTGTTAGCGTTGATGATGAATTTGAGAAGCTTGTTCTTAGAATGAACCCACCAAGGTAATTTGGTTCTTTGTTTCTTGTTTATGCTATATGTGTGAATAATTTTTTTTTCTATAACTGGTCAATTCTGTTTCTCTTTTTTGAGATTGTAACTTTTATGACGGAAAGTGGTAAATTTTGAAGAATCTGACAAAAGGTGTGGTTTTTGAATTTTACTTTTGATGTGGGTTATTGTAGGATAACTGTTGATAATGCATCAAACAAGAAAGCAACTTTGATCAAGGTAATAGAATTTTGAATTTGATTAAATTAAGAAAATTCTAATATATTGGGGAAAACTTTGGTATGATTATATGTTTTTTTGTGGAATTTTTCAGGTAGACAGTGCAAATAAGAGAGGAAGTTTATTGGAGGTGGTTCAGGTTCTTACTCATCTGAACCTGATAATCAGGAGGGCTTACATTTCTTCAGATGGGGAATGGTTTATGGATGGTAATCAAATTTTTTCTTAAAACTTACTTATAATTGATTTTGAGTCTGATTCTTTGATGGTTGATTTTTTCGATTGTCAACTGCAGTTTTCCATGTAACTGGTCAACAAGGAAATAAGGTCTCCGAAGATAACATTGTCGAGCACATTCAACAGGTATATATCCCAAAATGTTAATAGATTACGCAGTTCTTACTGATCACGAGAGTGTTTAGAAATTTTTCGAAGGAGCTAATTTCCTAATTTGTGATTTAAGAATGGTTTCCATTGATTTCTTGGTAGAAAGTTTTATGATTCATAATTCTGTCTAATATCAAGTGTATTGTCGGATAGCAAATTCGGTTATAATCTGCCACCGATATGTGGAAATGATGAGGTTTAACGTCTTAGTTCATTAATTTTCTAGATTTGTTAACTCATTGAAGTGGTTGGAATTTATTACAAGCACATAAGCTACCGCACTCAAAAGGAAACTAACATATCTGTCCGTATCTGCAACAGATTATATGGTAGGCCTGTTTGAAATCCATGCAAACAGTATAGTCGAGGTATGATTTATTTTGCACATGGAGAGATGGGTAGGAGCATTAAATCATCATTAATAAATGAATAGCTAAAACAATAGTCATATGCTAATTTCAGATCATTGGTAGCATAACCGATTCTAGAAAGTTTACGTCGCATTGGACGTGAATAGACTATCGAAATTGTACTGATGATTAAATTATGTTGCAGTCACTGGGGCCAAAGGGGCAGAACTTTCGGTCCTTGACAAGATCTGTGGGCTTGACACCTACGGCAGAGCATACGACCATTGAGTTGTCGGGAAGAGCATACGCTTTGCTACAAGATAGATTATGTTGTTACAAGATGGTATAGGGCTCCGAGTTGATAGTTTTCTAATGTTGTATTAATTCAAAAATGTATTCTAATGTTGTATTGATTTAAAAATGTATTTCAGCTATGCTAAGGAAATCCAAATGTTATATTGGTTCAAAGATTTATAATGAAATTATCAATTTTTATGTAATTCAAAAATTTGTTCATAAAGAGTCATTTTCAATTTTGTC